CCGCTCCTCCGCCCCCCGCCGCCCCTCCTCCGGCCGCTCTGCCCCTCTGCGCAGTGGGAGCACGGGATAGGGAGGTCACGAGTTCCGGGCCCAGCAGCAGGGGTCACCGACCGCTCCGCGCAAAGGCCCTGGGCTCGTTCCCAGGCGCAGCGCAGGCTGAGGTCGGGGAGCCCCTTCTCACGCACTCTGCCCTCTCTCACCCAGGACGAGGTGAAGCTGCCGGCCAAGCTGAGCGTGAGCAAGTCGCTTAAGGAGGCGGAGGCGCTGCCTGAGGGCGAGGACGCGGGCGAGGGCGCTCGGCCGGAGGACGAGGAGGATGCCGCGGCACCCGAGCTGTCCTCGGACGAGGCGGTGGAGGTGGAGGAGGTGATCGAGGAGTCGCGCGCCGAGCGCATCCGGCGCAGCGGGATGCGGCGCGTGGACGACTTGCGCAAGGCCTTCTCCCGTGAGAAGATGGAGCGCACGCGCCTGCGCACCAAGGAGAACCTGGAGAAGACGCGCGTGCGCACGCGCGAGAACCTGGAGAAGACGCGGCACTCGCTGGAGCGACGCGTGACCACGCTGGGCGCGCGCCTCGTGCCAGCTGAGCGCCGCGAGAAGCTGCGGTCCTCTCGCGAGAAGCTGCGCAAGTCCTTCACGCCCGACCACGTGGTGTACGCGCGCTCCAAGACGGCGGTCTACAAGGTGCCGCCCTTCACCTTCCACGTCAAGAAGATCCGCGAGGGCGCGGCAGAGCCTCCTCGAGCCACCGAGATGGTGCCCGTGGGCCCCGACGACGACGACGACGAGGCCGGGCCCGAGCGCGGCGGCGCTGGCGACGTGCTGCGCGCCAGCAGCCCCGACATGCGCGCGCTGCTGGAGATCACCGAGGAGTCCGACGCCGTGCTGGTGGACAGGAGCGACAGCGACTGAGCCCCGCCTGCTGGCCCCTGCCCGCTTGCTCTGTCGCATTCTCTCGCTCTGTCTTTCTCTGCCTGTGCCAGCCTGGCCGAGATGTGTCTGAACACCTCCCCTGGGAGGCTGAGGCAGGAGGATCGCCGAGTTCCAGCGCCCCCTGGGCTGCGTAGTGACTTAGGGAGGCCCCGTCGCAAATACAAAGTGAAAAGGGCTGCGGGTGGAGTGCGGTGATGAGGCTGAGAAGTAAGGAAAAGGCACCCCCTGTGTGGGCGCATCGTGGGTGGAAGGTGGGGACGGGAGTGGTGCTCGTGGGGCGCGTGCCCGGCAGCGGAAGGGGCGCTGGGCCGGGGGAGCTGGGACGGCGGCGGGGGGCTCGGGAGGGCGCGCGGAGAGCACTGTGGGCAAGGGGCGGCCGCGAGGCCTGGGGGGGACCCTTGAGCCCCAGGCCCCTGCTGCCTCTTCCGAGCGCTGCTTGTAGGGTCGCAGCTGACCGCGGGGGCGGGAGGGCTGGGGACGAGAACCTTTTATACACATGGAGCTTGGCTTTGTTGTTTCGTGTTACTTTATGCCTTTCTCTTTCTTGGCTTCCTTCTCGCCCGGAGTGGGGGGCGCCGGACGCGGGGCGGGTGGGCACGCGGCGCCTGGTGCCTGCGGGGCGGAAGGGGCCTGACCGCCGCACAAGCAGCCCTCCTTTTGCTGGGCCTCTGACAGCCCGGCCAATAAACCTGCTTTTCTAAAAGGATCCGTGTGCCTTGTCTTCTCCAAGGACGAGGAGATAGATGGTGGGGGTGCGCTCGGCTGTGCCCCTGCCTGCCATCCCGCCCACGGAGGCCGGGCGGGGGGATTGCTGACGCTCGAGGCCAGCCAGGACTGACTGGAGGTTACAGTGCCGCCCTGTCGCAACAACCGGAGCGTGAGAGAGCTGGCTCCCGACGGCTGCGTCCGTGAGTGTTCAGCTTTTCGATGGAATGGGGGCTGCACGCTGCCCGGGAGCCTGGCCCTGAGCTGTGGGCACCCCCAGACCTGCAGTCAGCCGTCCAGCGGCCCCGTGATACTGCGCTGCGCCGTCACCAGGGCAACGACAGATGCCGGGATCCACCCAGGAGGTCGCTCATAGAATTGGGGTGATTGGGCCAGTTGTGGGTTTGTGCAAATATTCGCCACCCCCCTTTTTTTTTTTGAGGAACCGGAGATTGAACTCAGATCCTTGCGTTTGCCAGTCAAGCGCTTAACTACTGAGCCATCTCCCCAGCCCCATCACCACCACCACCCCTTTTGCTAATGCAAGT